CACACGTGTCACGTGTACAAGTTGTTGTTATTGACAACAGAAACACAAAGAACCTAGAACAAAGACAGTCACACCGGAAATCTTTGGGCAGATAATCTGGTGATTAGAGGATAGTAACAGAAGACTGGTCCGAGCCAGAGTTAAACCACACCGCTCGACCGCTCTGACTAATCAATTTAATCTAAAGCCATTAGGTCCATCTGAGTCTGACCTTAAGATCGGCCTCGAGATTTAACGCCACGATGCTCACGCAACGTTTAATGAGCATGTGGAAACACGGATAGATGTCTGTTACATGTGCATCGTCATGACCTGACCAACAACGCAGGATGTTTGATGATCATTTAATCCCCAGTCTTAAGAGTTTTTATTAATGACTCTTTTCTCTCCAGTGTGTATTTAGGCCTTTGTGCAGTCTTAAGGGGTGTGCTTATCGTACGGCAGTGTGTGCGTCAGACGGTAAATATATCCCTCCCATCTGTTTGGGCCTCTACAGATGCTGTCTAATGAAGTAGAGGATCAGCGCTAAACTCGGGGGGGGGGGCATGTAACGAGAAGACGAGGGGAAAGCCAGGCAGTGACAAACACAGAAAGCATGAATCCGAGAGGAAACGACTGCGTCAAAGCAGCCGCTCAGAGGGAGGATGAGAAAACGTAGAGGCGGGCCGTGCCAAGACGTGATGGGGCCAAAGGCGTTAGAGCCAAGTGAAGGATGAGGAGTCGGGGGGGCAAAACGGAGATCCCATCCGAGCCTTACACACAGTTGGTTGAGAATGTCCACTGCGCAATAGAGTGTCAGGGTGATGGGGTTTTTGGTCTGTCGGGAGGAAATGGGATCATCATTCAAACAAAACAACTTTTTTTGATCAGCTATAAGTTCTGGATTCAAACCAACCTACACTGAATTTCAAAGAAAAAAATCAATTTCGCATTACGAAAAAACAATGCAAATCATTTAAAGTCTGGGAAATAATCCAATCAAAAACGAAACATGTTTTCTTTTTTCTAGGGTCATCGCTAAATCTCCTTGGGACTTAAAATGAAAAGATGCACAGATCCGAAAAGGCTTCGAGCTGCAATGAAAAGCTCATTTGTTTGGTTCCTGTCAGACGGGGATCATGACGTTACACAGGCAGAGACGCCCGGAGGAGCATGACGGCATTTTAATCTCCGACGGCAACTGTCATCTATGACAAAAAATGCAGATGCACATGACACACCCCAGAGTCATTCTGATTTTTTAATAAAAAAATTAGATTCACGATGGCCAAATTTCACAGCGTCCCAAAACCCTCCACTTCCGAGCACATGCAGCAAATATTGGAATGATTAGTGAGGATTAATCCTAAACCGCTGGACAACCTCGTAAGCCTTCAGTACATGACGTAGCAACATTACTTAAAGACGCGCGCGCTTCCCGTGCTTTTCCTGACAACTAACGGCAAAGTGGTTGCCTTTGAAAAACGAGAAATGTGCAAGAGACGCGAATTACTCAAAACATCAGAAGACCAAGGCAGCGATGAACTTTGAACATGCAAAACGCCCGCGCAAAGCTTACCACCGCTAACTTAGCCCAAGCTAACGGTCTGCAACACTGATCTATTCCTGCTGTGTCTCACGCAGCTAATCTCAATCTTTAGCCCTTCCGGCTCCTTGTCCAATACCAATTTGTTTCCCTTCACGTTTTTACTTGAGCCATCTTTCATACTGCAGTTTTTAATGGCTGACTTTAGTGCAAATATGAAAGAGACACCTAACAACTAAATCATCTATCCCTGCCATGACAAACTATAGGTCTTAGATCCTCTAAGTCTAAGAGGTATAAATGTTTCCCTTATCAATAGTGCACGGAGTAGAAAATGATGTTGTTGAAGACCCCATTTATAGCAGTAGGTTCTTTTAACCCCTTCAATCATTAGAACGGTTACTTACCCAACAGCTGTGGACGCGGGTTAAGTGTTTACAATGCATCCGTTTCTTTTCTTTCCATTTTTGAGATGCAGTTTGATTTTAACTTTCTTCACTCCAAAGAACCACTTTCATAAATACACATAAATCATTCGCTGTTCCCGAACATTTTTCTGAAAAATCGACTGTGAAATGAGCTGATTTTAAAAAATGGAATAGAAAAGCAGTAATGCATTAATATGTAAAGGACTCAAAATGATGGGTACAAGCGGGGGTTAAACACCTGTGGGTTTTTTTCAGAATAAAGAGATCTTTCCTTGTGTTGAAAACTGCCCAAGCGATCTCTGATTTCCTCCAGTCATCTGAGATAAGGAGGAGGCTTCACCTCCATTGAAAGGAGGCGTGTTGACTGAGTTAGAGTTCACGTGCCAAGCAGCAGGTTTCTGAGGCATGAGGCGTAAAGTGGGAGGGCTTCCATTTCCTTATCACTGCGCCTGTCGCAAAGCTCATCGCCACGCAGACGTGACGGGATGTTTGTCGCCATGTGCTTCTTCCTGCGTGTGCATCATGATGAAAGAAAATCCCAGTTTGTGGCAATTTTCCCAGCTCATGTTTTCTTGGTTCTGATAACACGTTACTCAAACTAATGGTTCCGAGAAGTGTAAGAAGACAAAGTTTTGCTGAAAGCTTTTGATCAAATTTTGTATATGAACTTTGACCTATATATATTTTTTTCCCTCATGAGGCACAATGAGGCATCATTGCAGGTGAGCTGACTTTGGTTTTGCATTTAGATAAAGTGGTAGCTAATCTGTGAAAACTGTGTGTTTAGAATCTATTTAGTTGTCTCACCATTTTGTTCCCTATTTCTTTGTTAATCTTTCTACATTCTGTTTATCACAGATTAGATCCATGGGTGCTGACAACATAATCAATAGAACAGATGGCTTGAGCTGCAAAAACAAAAAATAAAAAAAGTTTGAATTAATTATAGTTTTTCCTTTATGTCCTTTTGAGGAGGCCCACACAGACCATAAACTTTTAACAGGCAGTTGAATGAAGTTTAACTTGTTCCTCCCTTCTTTGAGACTTGTGGTTGGAGATGCAGCGGAGACAGTTAATTGTAGAGATGTCAGAGTTCCTCACGAAAGTGTATAATTTTGTGCCTGTGTGTGTTTCAGATACTGGTAGAACAGGCCCAGTCCAAATAGCTTCGTATTTACAGGCCTGCCCATGCATAACATCGGTTTCTCCGTTAAACAAACACAATCAGATAAGGCAGAACATTTTCTCTTGGACTCTTTGAAAGAATGCAGACAGAAACACTGGCTGGACATCTGAGACTGGAAGAATTCGCTGAAGCCTCGGATGCAGTTGTGCATAATTCCTTGATGGTTGGTATGCAACGGTACACATGGTTGGCCTCCAATGCCACATTCCCACCTTCTGGGAACCCCTTAAAACCCTCTCCACGAGTCCCCCTGCCTTCAACGTGCTTCAAATACTCGGTTATATCATCACCCCATTAAATAGATTTGCATGTTTAATCCTGATGACTCCAGTTACACAATGGCCTTCGGTGGCTTTAATGGTTCTGTGTATTCAGATAAAGGATTACATGGCAGAGGCGCTTTGTAGCAGAACCTGAACCGAACAGCGGCTCCTGGTGGTTAACTTTGGTTACTGCGTGGACGTGTGCAGCATCCGTGAGATCCTCAATGATGAAGTGAGTTCGCAATTGGTTACGCTGTCAACTTCTACGTTAGGAAAAAAGTATGAAACAATGAGTTGGTCAATAGCTATTTGTGTGATTCCACTTTCAGCGAGCCAGCATCATGCACCATGTACCACCTAATTAATGCTATTGATCACATCCGTGTTTAACCTGCAATGACATTTGGGAATAGCTGTTGTGAAAAGGGCTGCAAGCCTGAGGAAGAATAACGGCTCGACGGCATAAGGGAGGGAAAGCTCGGACTATTTTAAAAATTCTGGGTGACAAAAATCAATGTCATCCAGAAGTGATTGAGGGTGATGATTGTTAGAAGGGCAGATATAATGTTCCCAGAATATGGTCTGTTGAGTGGTGTGTCATATCCCTCATCCATTAAGTTCACTTCTCGGTGCAGTCTGACTCACCGCCCCGGTCCTCTCCCGGCTGGGCGGATGAAGTGTCTGTTTCCAAATGGAAAGGGATGATGAATTTTTTCCCCCCCCAAACATTAGATCAGCAAGACACCGCATTACAGTATTAAAAAAGTTTTTTTTTTTTAAATACATCAGTTACGTCTGTACCTAATGAAGAGCGGGTTCAAAACTATTTTTCCGTACCTGGAAAGGGAAGTTGTGCACATGTTTTCCTCACTGATTGGAAGCAAGGAAACAGCTTGACCAGATGTTCTAATTTACTTGAGCCCAAACATTGTTATTGTATCTCATTAAAGTGACACTCCAGCCAAAATAAATTGGCCGAGAAGGAAACCCTCCTTTTAGACCATTTGGATACTTTTTTTCCCCCTCAGTTTCCAAAAAAGATCTCAAGGTCATTCCTAACAACACACACCCATGTGACCATAAGATTCAGAAGGACGGGCCTCGATCTGTGGACCTTTTCTCCCTCGTGCTCTCCTGTCATCAAGAAAAATCCCCCCAACATGACAAAGACCCGTAGCATCGGCTCACAGTGAGCCTGTGACATCAGCGGCACCTTCGTCGCTCCGTCGGCGCGGACACACAGGTGACCATCGCCGTCCTCGTGTCCTACTCTCATTCAAATGTTGAGCTGGTGATTGAAGCGCTTATCGCTCCAAATCGCAGCGTGTAAAAGGTGTTACTGCCGAGGGAGAGCGTCGCCTCACCCACTTTGATATGGAAAATCACATCTGTGTGCTCCCAAAACAACATTATCTACAGAGGACTGAATGCACCAGGAGAAAAACCTTCCCTGCAACCCCTCCATCTGTTGTCTTGGATTAGCTCCATGCTTGTTCCCTTTTTTTATGATGATCAAAGACAGGGAGAGCAGGGAGGGAGGGAGGAAGGCGGGAGGGATTAGAAAAGGGAGGAAAATAAAGAGCCAAACACACATCTTGTTAAAAGTAAGATTTGTAAGCTTATTATTTTGTTATCATGGTCATTGTTATTACCTCTGTTATGGTTTGTTCAGTTTACAGTTTATTTTCAAGTTCATTTAAAGTCATTCCAGTCGAAGGTAAACATGATTGTAATTGTTGTTTCCAACATTAATAAATGCTTTTTTTTCTTTTGCCAGACCAAAAAAAACACCCTCTCTCACTCATACGCGCACACACACACACACACACACACACACACACACACACACACAAAGACAGACAGCATCTGCACTCAAGAGCTCCTGCACACAGATATGAAGTGATCAACAGAAATGAGCTCTTAACTCTCCCTGACTGACACACACACACACACACACACACACACACACACACACACACACACACACACCGGCACACTTTCTTATTCTCGTGTAAGTTCTTAAGTGCAACTTCTTGAGCGGTGGTTAACCCTCCCCGTCCACACCAGGACCAAAAACCTCTCCTACCTAGCCCCTCCCACAAAGAGCCATTTATACACCTGGGTTGGCTCACTTTCTGTCATATAATGCAACGTTCTCAATGATGCTCCAAAACCACAAGGTTTTCTCATGTCTGGTTGCTTTTGTTGTTTACTTGGGGGGGCCGTCTCTTAACGTTTGGTTGAAAAAAAATGATCCCCAAAACGGACACATTCATTTGGACAAATAAAAGCCACATTACTAGCAAACCGCAAGCGCACACTGATGAAAAGAAAATTCACTCCTAAAGACGAAATACACATATCACTTGTTCCCAACCGGGTGGAATACACTCATTATTCATCCAAAAAAACTTCAGGAAATGTTCTTCCCAGAACCAAAACTAATATTTGTAAGCTGGTTCCTCCCTTGGAGGTTAAGAAATATGAATGTGACTCATCACGAAATGCTTAAAAGGTGCTGAATAGGAGATGTGGAGTCTTTCTGTTGCCTCCTAACGGCCCTCCACGTGGTGAAGGCTGCGCCGGCGTCTCGCGTGTTGACCCATCAGTGTTCTCCTGAGGGACAACCGGAGGACTGCTGGAAACGTGTTCAGTCAGACCAACGTCACTGACTTTCCTCTTCAGGAAGTGTAATTATTCCATGTCCCTTTTGTTTGGGGATCATTCTCTCGGATTGAAAAAACGATTTTATAACGTGTATAATTGGGGCCGTTAAATCGGTCACAAGCCAACGCGGTTGAGAACCAAAAGCTCTGTCAGATTTGTCAATGAGACTCACAGAGTGCAACACAAGTTTACATATGGCTCAAACCACCCAATCCCCCAACTTTAAACCCCCCGTCTCCCCTCTCAAGATAACCAAAAATACACCACAGTAAACTTAAAAAAAAAAAAATGTATATAAAAACACAAGTTTCCAGTTTGTAAAATGCTTACATAACATTTCACCGTGGCAAATTTCAAGACATTGTTGTTCCATTCTTTGTCCTTTACGACATTTACACAAGTACTTGAACGCCTCAGGCGCCAGTGGGGGAGCCATAGCGTGACCTCGTCGATTAGCCACCACCATCATCGTCATTGTCGTCCTCATTGTGATCATCTTCGTCATCATCATCCTCATTGTTATCAGCTACTATGGTGAGCCATTGCCTACTAGAGTCCATCGTTTGGCAGAGTTGGGTAACCATGGTGAATAAGGTGCTAGTTGCTATGGAAACACTATTCTGAAGGACCCGACTGGTACAGTTGTTTTTAAGGTTTGAATTGCCGTACCTCCCCACCAATGCACTTGGTTTGTATGTACTGTATTACTTGTTGCTTTAGTATGCGTTTTTGATGTGTTTTTTTATTTTATTTATTAGTTCACAGAGATGAGATTGGTGGAGTGCAATGCTACGCTAACACTGATCAGTGGAGAGCTTCCTATTGTCCGGGACTGGACCCGTCAGAGGACGCGCGGGTGACTGTTCTTCCTCCCTCCTCCCCCGCTCCTCTCGCTCTCCTCCAAGCAGCCGGCGGGGTGAATGTTGGGCAGTATTGCTGAGCGCCTCCGCGGTGTGATTCTTTTACCCCCCGGAGACGACGGTGGACCAACCGAGTACCTCCAAGGCGGGACGGAGGAGTGACGCAGCAGACTTACAGCAGCAACAAACCCCTTGCAGTGTTCTGTGTCAACAGTACATCGTCGCTTTAAACGCTCTGACCCCCGTCCGGTCCTGCTGCCTTCATTAGAGTGCTGGAGGCCGATGGTGAGCGCAGGATACAGACGGGAGAGAGTAGACAACTCAAACACTGGAGGCGTCTGGATTCCCGGGATTGGCTCTGGAACTATCGGCTACTTTGACTAGTTTCCTACACAGGACCTGCACAGGTCATCAGCTGCTTCTCCCCCCAAGTTCCCAACATCAAGATCAACAACAACAACAACAACGACGACAAAAAAAAAGGCAATCACTGTTCACTTGTGATGAAATCTATCTGATTCAGTTCATTTGAGGTCAGTTTAATTCTTGTGCAAGAAACTATGGCAACTACCGCTAAGGAAGTGTTTCAGCCAATCGGATCCCGGGGAAAGTCTTCGAATGGTTTTCAATTGGGTGGGTGGATTTGACGCCTTTTTCTTTTTGCTTGGATTTCAGCCTCGCCTCTCCTGGTGTATAAATGCTTTGCGTGGTGTGCACGATTCAACAAGCTCAAACTATGGCCTGTGCAGACTCACACACACACACACACACACACACACACACACACACACACACACACACACAGTCTACCACACCTGTATCTGTATGCACAGGCTGACTTTGTTGCACGTGACATACGGTTCAGTCTGTGTCAGAGTGCCTGAAGGTCTTTCAACTCCACCAAAACAACCCTCCCTCAAACACACAGCTGTACGAGCGCACACACACACACACACACACACACACACACACACACACACACACACACACACACACACATTCACACACACATTCACACTGTGATGCTTGAAAACACTCATTTCTTTGCTCCTCTTCTGCTCTATTTCTGGCATCCTAACTCTCCTCGCTTTCTGCCCCTCTCCTCCTGTCCCCCCCCCTCTCTCTCCTCAACGCTCCCATCCGCCGATACTGTACACCCTCCCAAGGCTAGTTGGCATGGTGACGCTGATGGGATGGCCGTTGCTAGGAGATGAAGAGGGCGGCCAGAAAGAGCATCGTCACGGTGAGGAGAAGGCGATCCCTGGATGGGCTGCTTCCGCTGACACTCTTCTCCAGCTTGGGAACAAAAGGGTTGAATTCATCTGCAAAAACAGAAGGAGAGAGAGAGAAAAAGGCAACGAATTATTGGGAGGGATTTTATTCCAGCTCATTCAGATGGCAGTCGAGGTTTGGGCCGCACTTTAAAAAGTGAAAAATGAGGCAAACAAGAGTTTGTCTGAGCTTTTAATTGAGCTATAATCTGCTTACACAGCACGGCTTTTACTGAAACACTAGTGAAGTAGTCACACTCCCTGCAAAGTCGGCCATGGAGACAACACAACAGCAGGGCCGTGGCAGACGGCTGCAGCTGTTATCAGAGAGCTCGCATTGTTCCGGCAAAGTGACACATATATTAACACACAGACACACACACGCTGTGTATTGTAACCCCCCTCCCACCCCTTTTTACACCTGGTGATGACCTAAAAATAGTTTGAGCGCTGAAGTCTAGTCGATGTGCAAAAAAACACCACACTGGCCGCACGTATGAGGCACGCGGGCGGCCCGACACACCCTCTGTAGTCACGCCATTAATGAGACTCGAGAACAGACAACAGAACATCGCACCGTCTGAACATCGGGCGATTAGTGTGTTTGCCGGCATCAAAGCAAAGCGGGGAAATTATCAGCCGCCGCCATATCTTGCCGAGAGAATATTTCCAGCAGCCTCGGGGGTCAGACAGCGGAGCAATGACTGGCTGACACCCGTGTCTTGGAGACGGCCTCTTCTGGGCCGTCTAACGTAACGAGGTCTAGGCAGCAGCGGCGGAGAGCTCGGGTTAAACGCTTTGACCGTCGTAACCAAGCATGCCGCCTCGGGCCTCGGGCCTCAGGAACGTGGTTTAGGAGACACAGCGGACTGCGGAGCTTCTCGCAAAACTGGTTCCGAAGCGCGACTCACACTGATCGCTTCACGGATAAACACGTCGTCACTGTGCATTTGGCACGATGTCCGAGCCGGGGGAATGTGACGTGCATCGTGACCTTATGACACGTTCGCGAAGCGAAACATCAGCTCACGCGAGGAGTGTCACTGAGTGTCTCACTGGGTGTGTGTGTGTGTGTGTGTGTGTGTGTGTGTGTGTGTGTGTGTGTGCACGCCACATTTTTCGAGAAAGAAAAGCAGGTCGTATCTGCTTGATCATTCGAAAGCTCAGACACCTCGAGGCGTCTCTGAATTTGAATGTCATGTTGACAAGAACAAGTAGATATCTTGGTCTCTGATTGCGTCTCTGAGTGTCTGTCTGTGTGTTAGTGACGTGCGTGTGCGTGTGTGCACTTCAAGAAAGTAATTATCTTACACAACATTAGGAGTTGTGGTGTGCAGGGATTAAAATGTCCTAAATAAAATAAAAAATGTTTTTTCTATAATGGATCCAATCCTGCAGAGCCAAAAAGACACTACACAACTATGGTCAGATGCGGAGCGGTCTTCCCTGTAACCGGTATAGAACCTTTAACAGGCTTCTGTCCGCTCAGTGTTATAAATGTAACTGCTCCCTCTGGTGTATGACTGTACGTACGCACAAAGAATAAGTCATAGCTGGGAAGCACGGCCGTTTCACTGAACCTGCAGTTTGCTCGTAGTTTTACGAACATTATATTCCCCACTAAGCACCAGGGAGACAACAAAAAGGAAAACAGCATTTATCGCTGCAAGATACAAATCTTCTTCAGTGCTTTCAATGACTTTGAGGAACTGCAGTTCATTGCATGTTGTTTGGAACCATCGGAAGCTGACTTTAAATCCCAGGAGCAGTTTAGTGTTGCGACATATGAAACATCTTCCTAATTGGTGCACCTGAGCAATCAGCCCGCACACCTGCTGTTAATTAGTTGCTGATATCGCTCTGTGTTTTTCTTCTGAGATCTGTTTCCACTTACAAACCCACTCGGCTCTTAAAGTGGTATTAAATTAGCACATTCACATAATACATGTATGGAACCTAAATGGTCCACGTAGTGCAAGAAAAAATTGCCTTTTTCATGCTGAAAATGAAATGCACATGTGAAACCCAGATCTTTCCATCTAAACTTAAAACATATTAAAAAAAACAAATGTCCTAAAAACAGGCGGTTTTCAACAGTGTTCCACCAGCTGATCCTCATCATTGTGCTGCTGACAAAGTAACCGTAGCACACCGCAGTTTAAAGCGGTGCTAATTGGTACAATAAACCCCTTTAATTAAAGAAGGGGCTTCTGATTTCCTCCGCTAATGGCCGGACCCGACCGGCAGACGCGGTAACCTGAGCCAAACGCTCAGTGTCCTCCCGCTGAAAGCCACCGGTAATCACATGGCGGCGCGGGGAGCCGCTCGCGCCATTCCATCTGTGTAGTAAATGAGGTCTAAATGAAATCTAATACTCGCGGCCCTATTCAGGAGGGAACCGGTGTTGAGCCATAGACGCTGATTGAAAGGGGCATCGCCCAGGAAATAAACTGTGAGAGAGAGAGACGGGCGGTTTGCAACATTCAGCTCAGTTCAACGTCTTCAGACGCGGTAATCAGGCAGACCGATGTGAACTTGGAATAGCAGTCATTTAAAACTACGAGGTGACTAGTGTAACCGGCAGTCCGAAGGAATAGGAAACCGCTCTGCTTCTTTGTGTTTTAATTCCTTTCACAGCTCCCTGACGATTTCCTCACTTCCTCTCTCTCTCTCTCTCGCGCGCGACTTGAGCTCTCCTGTTAATTTAATTGGCAACAGGTGAAGCTGAGCTCTTGATTCAGTTCTCCCCTTCACGTTAACAGCATTTCCCCGTGGGTTACATTCCTGTTCAAGCAGTCTATATGTTAATGGCTTGAGCATCTTTTGCTAGGAGTTTAACACAAGGACATTTAATAAAAATGCATCGTATGTATTTAGTATGGTTGAACTAAAGCCGATCAAAAGAACAGTAGACCAAACTGATAATAATGTTAATATAGCTTACTCTGATAGCATTAGATGCATACCATAAACCATTAGATTTAAGCCATTTATTGAAGAAAATAAATGTTAAAAGATGGAAAAACTCATTTCACACATCAAAAGGTGAATAAACTGAGTTTCAGTGACTTCCTCTCCACTGCCTTCCTACTTGCGCTCATTGCGGAAAATGAGAATTTAAGAGTGGGGGGGGGGGGGCACGGAGAAAGGAGATGGAGCGAGGGAGACAAATTAGATGAAAGCATGATGGAGGGAGAAAAAGTAGTGAGGGAAAAATATCTCGACAAATTAGGATGAAATGCAGCCACTTGCTGCAGTCGGTGATGGATTTTCTGTTTAGTCATGAAAAGAAACTTATGTATCTCACACAAAGACACGCAGATTAGAAACAACACGGCAACATATCTTACAGGTTACCTTGAAGAAAAGGGTGAAAGCTGGCCACAACGATGATTGATGCATTGTTTCTGAATAGTCTGTTAGCTTAGCCCAAGCTAGCTGCACATTTTTATACCTGTGTGTCACCAAACGGCGGCCAAACGTCTTACTCTTGATTTAGCATGATTTTCATGAATAACAGTAATCTGGACACGATCATCGTAAAAAGGCAGAGTAGGATTACTCATCGAGATCAAGAAGTTGACTGCAGGAAACCTGAATCGAGTTTTTTTTGGTAACGAACCATAAAACTCTGTGTTCTTCGCGTATCCGGGTGGAAGCGGCGAGTGTGAAATGAATATGCATGTGGCACTTCGGCAGGATCAGCAGCTTGCCGAGCCAGCTGGTGCCGTGAAATTAACTGTGCTGACGGTCTCTTTAAAAAAAACACAGAAAAAACGGCACATTTCACTTTCGCTCGACGTGTCTGATGCCGCATGGTAAATAAACTGATCACTTTCCCGACAAATAGAAACAACCAATATGCTGCCAGTATTAAAAGGACGAGGCTTGTGACATTGTACGTGTTTGTAGCCGTCTACAAATCCCATGATGTGATCAGTGTGTGGGACACTGTTTCTTCCAGCCCTCCGTTTAAAGCTCCGCAGCTAAGGGGAATCACTCTAACGCCTCTAATCAGAGTCCTCTCATTGCCTGCAGGCGTCTGCGTCCCAGACAGACTGCTGGTAATAAAAAACACAAATGAGCCACGCCAGGTGTGAATTTGATGTTCCTCCCAACATTCACCATCGTTTAGCCGTTATTAGTCACCAGACCACTACTTAGGAGTGCCTCAGAGCGGTTATGGATAACAGGAAGAAAAAAAGAGACACAATGGTTCTCGTTGATTCGTTGGAATTTGTTGGAGGAAATAAAGAATTGGCAGCAATATAATCTGGCAGCTCGAAAAGTGCCAAATGATTTTCATGATTTGAGGCATGTGATCGAAATGGCAAAACATGAGTAATTTCTTTGTGAATGTGGACGGGTCAAACGAACGCGCTCCACGGTTGCTCAACTTCAAGTGACTCACCGATATCGTTGATATTCAGGCCTGGTCGAAGCGTGTAGTCCGGTTCTGTAGGCCCCTGCTCATCATCTGCGTCAGAAGCTGAGAGAGAAAGAGAAATGAGAAATATGCAAGAAGCCCCGGATCACAAAGTTTTAATTAGGCCTCAGTTCCTCTGCTTGGCTCGACTCCACTCTCACGCTACTTTTTATTACCAGGGTTTTTTTTTCTTTTCTTTCGGGTGCCACAAAAAACTTCTCCCACACAACACTCAGTCAGTTTGGGGAAATTGCATTTCTTAAAATCCAGGTTGAGTAAATAACTTTTAAATCGCTAGCTTGGATATTTACAAATGTCAAGATTAAAGATGTCCTTTGCTGTGCAAGTCCTTTCCACAGCTGTAGTTGAGCTGAGCAGATCTACGGCCACAGGAAATGCAGCATTAGATTTAACTTTACACCCTCAGGGAAACATGCGGGGAGGGGGGGCAGCATGGAAAGGGTGCAGCAGGTTAAAAAAAATTCCCCCTAGACAGGCTGACAAGCCACAACATCAGCAGCAGCCCTGAGAGAGAGAGAGAGAGAGAGAGCCAAAGAAGAGGGAATGTGAGGGGAGGCAGATCAAACTGAAGAGACGCAGTGTGTGAAAAGGGATGGAGAGTGAGGATGGGGGGAGTTAGGGGGGGGGAGGTTAATACTACAGGGCTGTGGAAGTTAAAAGGACCGGACAGGCCGGGGATCAAAGTCTGTGTGTGTGTGCGCGTGCGTGTGTGCGTGTGTGTACACGCCTGTGTGAGTGCGAGCGGGCTGGGAGATGGAAGGGAGGCAGGAGAGTGAGCGAGAGAGGTTAACACTACATATACATAGCCACCCACTGACAGCACACAGCAATAAATGGATTCTGAGCAAGGTGCCGATGGACGAGGGGGGGGAGAGAGGAGGAGAGGGGGGAGCAGAGCGGAGGGGAGGAGGGAGGAGAGGGGGGGGGGCCTACAAAGCTGGTTGTGCTCCTCTTCGCTGCTTTGGAGGGAGAGCGGGACGCGGAGAGAGAGACAAGAGGAGCAAAGTGGGGGGCAGGAGGGGGGCTGTGCTGCAGCGGCGTATTAATAGCGCAGACTGTTTTAGACTGTATTTAGAGTATGTGCGCATCTGTATGCAGCAGGTGTGTAAGACACACACACACACACACACACACAGAGTGACAGACTCACCTGTGGAGCAGCAGACGTAGACTCGTAGTCTCAGGCAGCTGCGGCCGTGGTGATGGGTGGGCGTGGCTGTGAGAAACGTAGAGACGCGCAGAAAAGATCAACGCGTGCATTCACATGCGTTTAACGTTTTCCATTGTGTAATATCCCGAGTTGCCAAACACACACACAGCATAAAATTAGAACAAATCAACACCTCAAACGTGACACCTGTAGTTTTACTAGTGTGACGATTCAACTAATCTGCTTTGTTTAAAAAAAAGGGGGGGAGGAATCCCACTTACCCCATTCAGAAATGGATCAAATCAAATCTAAATATATTGCATAAAAACGTTTTTCAAAGCAGGTCAAATGAGTGCAGCAGTCTTTACGCAGTATTTAATGTAGGAGGCCTTTATCTCTGGACTAAATGATTTATTTTGTAATTGGATCATATCAAGCTAAAAGTGTATTATTTGTGGTGTGAGTTTAACTTCATTGCGATCAACAGAATGGAGGACTCCAGGGGGATTGGATCAAACGTGAAGCGGCTTTCCTGGATTCCCTGGGAGACCGAGTCAATCCCCCAAATCCACTCAACAATAAAAGAATAACCTGTGTAATAACTTCAGGGAGTTATTGTGCCCCCAGTGCTCCGCCCTCCCGCGCTTTCCCCGTAATTTATAGAATTCAAACGTATCAAACAAACTGGGGAAACGTGGCGTGAACGGGGGTGTGGGGGGGGGGGGGGGGGGTCGAGCCCACTCACAGATGTAGTAGTACTCGTGTCCCACGTGGAACTCGTAGCCCAGCGAGAAGGCGCTGTAGCGCTGGAACTTCTCGGAGAACTTGATGGGCGCGTGGGGGGCGTGGGGCCGGTTGCACTCCCACCTCTTGAAGCCCAGCTGGGGGTCGCAGTTCCTGTACCCGCGATAGCTGACCATGTAGAGGACGTACTGCTCCCCGCTGCCCGCGCCGCGCTGGCTGTCGTTGTAGTGGGGGCAGTAGATGTCCAGGTAGTCGTTGACGTTCACCTGCATGGTGTAGCCCTCCCGACGCAAGCTGGACGCCACAGAGAGAGAGAGAGAGAGAGAGAGCGCAAACTGAGGATTACACGTATCATCACA